GGGTTCGTACGTTGGGTGCGGTCCTGGGACTATCTAATATGCCGGACCGTACCTCGCCTACTCCACTAACGAGTCTAGGGAGTTGCCTACGCCTACTCCCTAACCCTAACCATATCAGATGGTTACCAGGGTACGTTCCGGTATACCGGACCGTACCCAGGGTACGTTCCGGAAGTACCCTGGGGGACATAGACCCTATGAGCCATAGTTATACTGGGTGCATGCATTCTCGTTTTACTTCTAGGCACGGCGGAAAGTAATAATGTAATTTGCGATGCTCGTATAGATAGTCTTTTATCATATGCTTCGAGCGTGGCATAACGATGTAAATATTCGAGTGACGATCGATTAGCGCTGGCGAACGTGACATATGCCGCGTAGTTAGGCTGTCTGCAGCTCAGTTACTTACGCATACATACGCACGCACTGTTACATACTGTCAGGAGTGAATAATAATAATAGATTTATTATTCTATAGATATATAATAATCTATTATTATTCACTCCTGATACTGTTACATACGCAAACGTCGAAACGTTACGTTATTCGCTTGCGTTAAATATTCAGGGTAATTCACTTGATGGTTTATCTTGTCTCTAGCGGGACTGACAGACGGTTGTGGCGATAGTACGTCGATAAACGGCTACCGTGGCTTCGTAGCGTGAACTGTGTGATATTACTGTACATTAATGCTGCACGTTGCGAGCCGAGTAGCAGCAATGGAGGCCTGCACAATGTTGTTTAGCGCTAGAGTAGAGTTACTACTTCTACCTACATTTTACAGGTGAAGACGGTAAACATATTCTCGATGCAAAGGAATTTTGGCTGCATGGCTGACTGCTACTGCGTTGCCGCCCAGAAACATCTGGTCACTCTCGATTATCGTTGGCATAGGTGACACGTCCTGTACTACAAAATCCTCTATTGATTTAATTCGCCCTACAGTTTGTGGAGGATTACGAACCGACCAAGGCCGATTCTTACAGGAAGAAAGTGGTCGTGGACGAGAACGAGGTGCACATAGACATCCTCGATACGGCAGGACAGGAAGACTATGCAGCGATCAGGGATAACTACTTCCGGTCCGGTGAAGGGTTTCTCTGCGTGTTTTCTCTCACGGAACGCGAGTCGTTCACAGCGTGCGACGATTTCAGGTGACTAGGCGCGTATACGACTCAATGCGCACTCTATCTTCTACATTTGCCGCGATTTTATTATGGTCTCGATCCGTGAAAATTATAATCGATAAGAGCATGCCTATTATTAGCTCAAATGGCTATAACCTACTATGGCCAACAGGGCGCTTCCTTCAAATCTATACGCAATGATAGAAACAGCGCAAGATCGAATAGAAAGAAATACTTCCGTAAACAGAAAGCTCTGAGAGTAAAATAAGTGTCGCAGAGTGGCAGTTTTCATCTCAGAGAGGAAAGGGCGGGGAAAGAGACTGACAGGGAGTGGTTAGATAGATAGCGATAACGAGAGAGAAGAAAGAAAGAGAGGGGAGTAGATAGATAGTGACAACGAGAGAGGGGAGCGAGTGAAGGGAGAAAAAAATAAATAAATAAATAGATAGATAGATAGATAGACAGACAGACAGACAGACAGACAGACAAACAGAAATATAGCTAGATAGATAGATAGATAGATAGATAGATAGATAGATAGATAGACAGCTTGATAGATAGACAGCTTGATAGATAGATAGATGGATAGATCTCTGTTAACAGTAAACAAATAGATTAATCCTCCTCTTGGGGGTCAAAACATTACGGCACAGCTACTCCTTGCACATCAGTGGGGAATAAATTTTGTGGTCCTTTCAATAAAGCCATGAAAACAACAGGTCACCGCTGGGTGAACAGGTCAATACGGGGAAATGGGGAGTTGGTGTATGAAGAAGACAGAGAAAGAAAACGACGACGACGACGAGGAGGAGGAGAAGGAGAAAGTGAGAAGGAGAAGCAGGAAGAGAAAGATGCGGAAAAGTAGGAAAAATGGAGAGAAATGGAAGGGAAGGGAGAAGGGGAAGAAAAACCTGGAGATTGGAGATAATGATGAGAATGCGAGTAATTTTGGTGTGAAGAATAATTCAAATTAGAAAGAGGATTTTTTAATTTCAGCAGTTTAAAAACAATCTTGTTCCCTCGTCAGGACAGGCCCAATGAATAGCTTCATACCAACTGCGAGGAATAAGAAAGTAAAACGGCATTATTTAAAACTTAATATATTGCTTCTTCGTGCAGATTGATGACAAGCTGTCGAGTTATCTGTCGGTAATACCAGCAAACCCATTACTATTTTCACAGGGAACAAATATTAAGGGTAAAAGGAGAAGATGCAGTGCCCTTTATCCTGGTCGGTAACAAGGTGGATTTGCAGGATAATAGGCAAGTCACCACACCTGAAGGCCAGGCCAAAGCTGATCAATGGAAAGTCACCTATATAGAAACGTCGGCAAAGACTCGCACCAACGTTGATAAGGTTTATTGATTCGTGCGTGCGTGTGCGTATTCGTGTGTGCGCGCGCGTACATCCATGCATTCTTGTCCATTTTGCATGTATATGTGCGTGCGTGCGTATATCTATGAATTCACTTGAGTGCTGTGTTACTAAAATCTAGAGTGACCAAAAACAAGTTATTTTTGCTTTATTCACCCCTGTTAAAATTGATGAGGATGTCACGTAAAATAATTCCTACCAATCGTGTCAACGCCAGAGGATGGTTGCCGTACGTCGTGCCCATAATCATCCTAACCACGGCCATCTCTGTTTTTTTCTCAGGCATTTTTTGATCTCACAAGAAACATTCAAACGCACAAGGTGCAGACACTGAGAAGAGGCGCAGAGGGACTAGACAGGGCGAAAACCCGCTGTACGCTTCTTTGACGCTAGTTCGTCTCTAGAATCCGCGACGAGAAGGGAAAACTGGCTCATGATCGGCTGCTATGACCAGAGTATTGTCGGTCTCGGCTGCTATGATGTGGACGGTTGTAGTGACGTGGTACATCACCTTCTTCTTCTTGCCCTCTGCAGTATTTAAACATAAAATAGCAGGAACGGTGTATTATACCACTTGCCGCCGCCCTTGTGATTGCGAATTTGTGAAGTGGGTCATCTATGCATGCAGTCAAATATGCTCCGACAGCGGATCGTCGTGTTGAAAGATAACACAGAGGCACGATCGTATTTATGCATGGTTGTATGTGAATGAGAACGTTATTATACTTAAAAGCTGCTGCAACAGCGAGTTAAATAAAATAATAGCCTACGTGCGCATTGCGATTGTAATTAATTTACTCATCCTAATAATCTCAACAATTCTGCAAACGTCAAATAAAACGTCAAACAGCAGTTTACTCATGCACTCAGACAAGTGTTACAACTGATATTCGTGTAATAGAGCTGATACGATGAACGTTTGTCTTTTATTTCGTATTACAGTCAGTAGTTTCAGTAACTCGCTCACAAATGTGATATAATGTACATCTCATCTGACTCCCGACTCTTCTACCCCATATATGCGGCTTTTGTTCACTCTTTCTGCCCCTCTTCTTATGTCGCACTAATCTCTCTTCCTCTCCATAATTGGTTTCTGTTCTTCCCATTGACTCTCGCTCGCTCGCTCCCCCTCTCTCGCTTTACTCTCCTTAACCCTCCACTGTTTCTCTGGCCACTGACATATCCTCTTCTCCATATCCTGCTCCTCTTCTTTCCCTTGGCTCTTCTCCTGATATCCGTGTTTCTTTTTCTTCTTTTTCGTCTCTCGTCTTCCTTCTATCTATCGATATCCCCCTCTCGTAAGTATCTCTCTCCTGCCCCCTATCTTTCGGTTTCTCGCTAGTATATAGTATATAGTCAATGCCCATCATGTTGTCACTTGACATTCCCTTGCCACATAGTGAGTGACCTGCCACCCATGGATAAACCGGCGTGATCGACAGAATAGATATGGTGCTCACAGAATTTGCTCAAGCGCACAAAACCATTACAATTTCCCTAGGCAATCCACAGTTGTTGTGTGGCCTAGGCTTTGATTTCATACCCAGCTGCTTCTATCAAGTACGCACTTCATCTGGATGCACGTCTTCGTTGTTCCTAAATAGCAATTCACCTCCTCATCGCAGGTGGATAATCTTTTGCGATACGTGGAACACCTATAAGATAAACATGCGACATACACTATCAAACTAACAAATCCCTCTGCATCTCATTCTCGCACTCTACCCTTCTCACTCATTGTCGTTTCTCTTTTTCATCGGCGCTCCCACCCCACTCTCCTCGTATCGCTTCTCTCTCCCTCCTCCCCCTCTATCTCTTCTCTCACTCTCTGTACCTCTGTATTTCTATGTATGTATGTATGTATGTATGCATGCATGCATGCATGCATGCATCCATCCATCCATCCATCCATCCATCCATCCATCCATCCATCCATCCATCCATCCATCCATCTACCCATCCATCCAACACACCCATCCCCATCCAATATATGTATATATATATATATATATATATATATATATATATATATATATCCTTATCTCGCACACCCTCTCACGCGTACACGCGCATGATCGGAAAAGGTAAAAAACACTACTGCTTATAACGCGTATAGAAGTTGGCAATACCGTACTCCTTGCATATACCTGCCTCGGAGTTTACAGTATAGAGTACAGAGTAATAGTATTTAGATAAGTAATAAACGCGTAAACGTTGCGCCAGTATTTAACGTATATTCCAGTACTCTGTGTCTGCTTGCGTAGCGACTTAATTCTAACGAAACGTAACATTCATGCATCAATGAATGCTTTTCATATCAAAGTATAATACTATGTATAATGAAGTCTGTAATTGAATTTAATGAAATGGCTTGTAAATGATTCATATTTATGTTAATAAATATTATATATGATCGCTATATGCATATACGTACGCATGGTAGCAGTTCATGTCATATATGGGCCTATGCCGATACACTACAAGCATATGCATAAAATGCCGTGCCGCACACGCATCTATGCAACAAACGCTTTCTATGCGGAGAATAGACGCTATGTAGCAATTTATAACGTGACTATTCACTTCAGGAATATAAGTCATATGATAATCTCATTCTTCCAACGCCTCGTACATATGTAGAACAGTCGTATACCCAGCACATGAGCATTTCACATACATGTTCCCGATTTGCTTCAGTCGATGCCACACGTGTCAAAACATGTTTACCATCGCTACATCCAAAAGCTCGGCCTTCAGGATAAGGGCAATAACGTCCCACACAACAACCCCGTTACAGAAGAAAATCAAAGCAACACAGCCGAGGCGCCTCAAAAAAAGGATTGTTAATATTTTGGTAAAAATGAGCCACCAAACACTACAAACTTGCACCAAACACGTTCGCGCGGAACTGCCTTCGTTAAACGCCAATCATTAGCTGGTTACGAATCACACACGGGCGTACGTCTAGTATCAGTCTGTATTTTCACGGATGCATGCACACACGCGATTTCGGGGAATCATAAGAGAATGACGTAAGAATATAATGTAGGTAGCATATATGTTTACGCAATTATTCGTAGCAAGTACCAGTTTTATGGCTCGGTTTACCACTTCAATATATATGGATTTTTCTTCCATAGACCACGATAAAACGAAGCACTGGCGGATCCAAAATTTTGCGAAAGAGTGGATGCTGTTGGGGGGAGCCTACAGCGCGAAGCACGAAGGCGGGTCCGGGGTCCTCCTCCAAAATATTTTGAAAATGTAGGATGCACGAGGGAGAATTTGCCTACAAAATTAAAGAGCATTGGAACGTTTAAATTGCGGTTAGAGTCACAGCGTAAATGGTACACGTGTGCGTGTGCGTGTGTGTGTGCGTGCGTGCGTGTATGTGTGTGTGTGTGTGTGTGTGTGTGTGTGTGTGTGTGTGTGTGTTGTGTTGTGTGTGTGTGTGTGTGTGTGTGTGTGTGTGTGTGTGTGTGTGTGTGTGTATGTGTGTGTGTACACGCGTGATGCGTATATGTGGCGAATCGTGTATATGTCACATTTGTCTTGGTTTATAGAAAATACTATGAAATTAAGAGGGCCTGGATGATGCGCCTGTTGTTTATTTATTTAATTTCCAGACCAATAAGAACCTTAAATGTGTAAAATATTGTGTAAATTACACCGCGGCTTAGAATCTCGCTTTTGCGCACCCTTCAGTAGTACCGCACACTACTTGCATCTAGTATAACATATTTTATATATTAAATATGTTTTATATATATACATTGAAGCTAGCCTTGGCTCTGTAAGAGAGGAGGGGTCTGGATAGCGCTCGCATTTATGTTTAGCTTAAACCCAATGAAACTAGACGTTGCTGGACGACACATGTGCGTTTCCAATATTATACTTTGTGATTTTAATAGACGCAGGTAGCGAGCACCTTCTGGTACCATTATATATCATGATCATAATTATGCTATTGTCATGGTCGGTCCATGAGATACTGGTAGAAGATCGGGGTAGGATATTTTCCAAGAGGTATATTTCACAGAACCGGTCGTAGAAATCGTGATCATATTATAATTGGTGCCAGCACGTGCAATGCTGGCGCTCTACTTTGCGACATACGATCCGGTTCTGTTTCCTAAATTTCCTCACGTACGAGCTGGTAGTCAGAATTGCTTCTTCTGTCATATCAAAATACAGAAAAAAACAGATTGTCTGAATCAAATTAGAGACGAGGTTATCTAAATACACTTTATAGAGATGATACGTGTTGACGCCAATTTCACAGTCGACCAACTTCTTTGAATCTCATCATTTACACACTGAAAGTGTTTGCGGAACAGGCGATTGACCCCATCGGAAACATTTACTCATTCGAGAAAGCTGTATGCGATTCTCTCCGATCTCTTTTGTAGTGACTTTCATAACCTTTTCGCTTTTGTGGTGAGCACGCCCGGCGAGCAATGGGGGGGGAACAATTCTATATAGATAACGACGTACAGCAGTATGCACAGGATGTATCCGGATCGCTGATTATTAAAAAATAACGGCGCCGTATAGTTTGTGAAGGATCACTGTAATTTTAATGAGGAGGCGGGCTGGGCGGGGGTCCATTAATTACCTGTGTCCCATGTAAGAATATGCCATTTACCCGTTCCCAGAAGATTGAAATGATAATTTCTAGTTCCGTTTTAATGGCCTCGGGTAATATTCAGCGATCCATGACTCCAAACCATCGACCAAAAGACCTTGCGCATGCTCGCGTAGCCATATAAATATATGGATAAGGTATATATATACATCTACTCAAGTATTCAAGTGTCAGAATTTCACTCGAACCAGTTTAGTGTTTCGTGTGTTGCTAGTAGAAGCTTCAGGTAAGATTGTGCAGTCTGTTCCATGTTAGAGACGTGTGAACATATAGCGTTATAGTTGACGCAGGTATATAATATGAATTGCATAAACGTATCAGGCTAGAATTATAGCACACAATTATTTAGGTTCTATTAGCAATCGAATGTAGTGTTGGTATTGTACATCATTAATTAAGATTTCGCATCGAATTGATTTCAGAATGATGAAGACTTTGTCTGTAGTTGTGCTTTTAGGCGTTGCCCTTCAGGGTAGCGATGCCCAATCGCTCTTCGATCGCGTTCAGAGTACGTATATAATAATAAGACGGGTGTCATAATATAGATATCTATATCAGGAGTGTCATAATATCTATATTATAACGATCCTGATAATAATGCTGAAATGGCGCAAATGAAATTGCTTATCTCTGATCATGAATAGCATCGCAGCATAGAAACTCAGCGTAAATCGAAAGCAAACATTGCTGCCAGCATCATTCGCGATTTCTATATGGTTTCAGCGCGGGATGCCAGCTATGCTGTTGTTTGGCGTTTAAAGACTACCTGCGTTCGTAACGTCGATAAGCTAGTTCATGCATTTTAAACTCTGTAAACTGTCAATCAGTCTGCATATATATATATGTATATATATATATATATGATTTATTTTGTTTTTAGATCCAGGGTCGAATCCTCCCACAGTCACTACTACCCTTCCTCCAGTCACTACTACCCTTCCTCCAGTCACTACTACCCTTCCTCCACAGCAAGTCGATGGTGAGTGCACACTAAATTATATCTATTATTCAGCGCAATTAGCTTTATTCGTGTAACGCCTTATAGCGATAAACTTCACATTATCATGTTATTTCATATAGTATCAAGCATTTCTGGGCGTTCGCCTGTTTGCTTCACATTAGTGATAAACGCTATAATGCCATAGTGAAGCTGTGTCGTTGATGCGCAGATACGGACTTCTTCTCGATTGACGAGAGCGCGAAGAGAATCGTAGCATTCAGGGACAAAGTAGCTCCCCGCACGGATCCGTTTTCCATCGATGCGAATCCGCAGACTATTGAAGAGGTAGACGTTATCCTGATGGTAGATCGCAGTTACAGCGTCGGACGGGAGGGATTTCGAAACGCTAAATGTGTCCTGCGGGTAAGTTTTAATTATCAATAACCTCGTCACGTTCAGCGCCATTAATAACTTTATATCTATTATATTTATTCTAAAGAAGCATATCAAACAAACGTTCTGCATTTACAATATTAATCGATGCGCATATGATGCGTTTATTTAGATGTTAAGACATATCGGCGATTTTGTGCGTAGCCCTTATAGAGCATCATGCAGTATAGGATCGAAATGGCCCGCATTTATATTGCGATAGTCTTACTATAATCTCATTTCTGTTTTAGGAATGGGCGCAGCTTTTCCAAGACAATATAGATATAAGATTCCGAGTGACGTTGCTGAGCTTTGCTCGCTACCCAACTCTCGATTCAGTTGACTATTTCAGGACGTACAATTCGTTTCCAGGCCTCCTGAATGCCATCGACAACCTTAAATACTATAGACGTAAGTATTTGACTACATCAAATTAAAAAATATGCTCATATGTTCAGAGTTGATAAGTGGCGAAATTGCGTGGCTGTATCAAGTAATCATGATTTCAAGTGGGTCTGCATTACTATAAATTACTAAACATATATTTCATCACGCACATCCAGACGGTGATAACAGTTGTCCAGTAAGGCCGGACCCGAACAACCCCCACGGACAATGGATCAGCTTAGACGGTTGTGCTACGTGCACACACTCCGCCCTAGATGAAGCATACAGCATCTTCTTTGATTACAAGTACCAAAATGGAGAGATGTTGTCTCGTTTCCACTCCACTAAGGCCATCATCGTAGTGACGGACGGAAAATCTAACTGTCCATCATCCGCGCCTACCTGCCGAGCGGCCCGTAAATTGCGAGAGAGAAGTAAGTCAAGAGCATACGTTAACCAGTCAATCGACTTTTTTCTAAGCTATATATGAGGTGAATAGAATCTTCAATTATATCGATGTATTCTAAGACATTGGGTAGGCTAGAAACTTAAATCCAAAAACCACCAAGATCATATCAATTCCTGTTCGCCTTTCCAGTATTAAATATATCATGTAACCTGATACAAGTGTTTCCAGTGTATGATTTGACCCACGCGCTAAGTTCGCCTCTGTATAAACCCCCTTTACCGTAGATGATTGCGCACGCGGCTACATGTTAGTTTGATTATTTTCTTTCAGAGGTGAACATCTTTGTACAGGCGGTTGGCAGACAGGTAGATGCTGGGGAGGTTAGGTGCATCGCTACCGAAGATGATTACAACCTTAACGCTGACTACTCACAAACCTGCCGTTCCACCACCTTGGCCAGGGAAATAGGGGCTCAGCGCTATACTTAATAGAGGAAAGATACGGCTAAAAAATATAGCAATAGCAATAGCACAGAGCGTAGGGGGGACCTGCATGGGTAAGATGGGACATCGGGTAAGATGAAACAGTGCTTACATAAAGCTTTTACATGGCTATAGAGGGCATGACACCTATCCATGTCTTCTACTTGATCGATGGAAAGCGAATCACTGCAGTTTTTTTGGAGAAAAATCACCTAAATTGTTTGTTTATCAAGGATTCTCCTTTTTTGTTCTTTTGAAATCTTTCTTACGTAAGTGTCAAGTTTCGTTATTTCAAGACTTGGATTCATGAGATTTTAGATTTGTTGTGTTTCGAGTAGGCCAATGTGTTGTGTATCAGCAGGTATGAGACGCGAGTGAAAATTCCTGCTTGTAGTGCATGGTAGTAAGGTGGGAGGAAGTTGTCGTACTAATATTGATACGATAATATAAAATCAATAACAATGATGCTTATTAAATATACAGGCGTTCTGATTTTGTTTCTGTTTCTATTACATTTTGTATTAATCAAACAACTTGACATGAATTTTATTTTAGAATTTAACTTATTTAAAAAAAAAATTATGAGTCAAAAAAATCCATGGAATACATTTACAAAAGTAAATTATGTGAATTATTTGAAAAAGATGTTTAATTTTAAAGCAGCTTGGTCATGAAATGTCATTATTACCATTTAAAATCAGTTTTAAGCAAATTTGTATGAAAATTCTCAATGAATAATCCAGACCAGCGGGGCAAGATGGGACGATGATCAAAATGTTTGATGGTCTATAAATCGAATAATACTCACTTAAATTTAGTAACCATAGATAATATTATCTTTTTCATTGTTATTGATCACCCACAAATATATTTTAGAGGTAAAGTTGATTTAGTGGGTTTTACAGGGTTTCTAAAAAACGTGTCCCATCTTACCCAGGTCTCCCATACAGGATACAGCACATTCCCTGTTTCAAAGGCGATACACGTATTTCATGCAGGTTGATATTTGAAGATGGATTTCAAGTGATTATGCATGATGCTAATTTATGTTGCAGTATACTGAATAAAATTTAAGAAGTCGGAACTATAGGCCTACTGTTAAAAACATGAAACTGAACTTGAACATTTGAATCAGTGTATAAAAGTAGATTCGTGACATCAATGTTTTTAATTATTTTTATCGGTTTTGTATACTATACCCAAATTAGATTGTTGCGGTCAAAAATATACTGGTTGCTGCATTTTGTCAACGCTATTAGAAGCAAACAAAAATACAAAAAGAATAACTATACCCTCGATCGACCAGTAACTTCTCAGTTGCCGTTGTGAGTAACTCAAACGTTGGTTTACACTATGATAATTTTATATGTACTAACTTATATGGGTTCTACATTGCCCCAAATACAGCTATGCCTTGCACCCACATATATTTCTTTTTATTTTACTAAAATAATAACAATAGCAATTACAAGATAAACATGCGTACATACTTTCTAGGATTCTGGGAATAAAAAGCAAAGCAATATAGGGCATTATAGGGATACATAGTCAAAATTTTTGCAAAGTAAGTTGGCAGAGTAGGCCACACGCTGACCAATAAGGAAGAGTCCACGAATTTGTAATGAAAAATGCTTAAATGCAAGAAACTACGCCACCAAATTGTTGGGGTTAGTCCTTTGAAATTACACATACTTATATATTCTATGCCAGAATTTATACATTATCTCCTGATTATATACATGTACTATCTATAGATAATATATAGGCTATGTTTATATATCCATACGTAACATAATACGCACGGACGCGCGCACGCGCACGCACGCACGCACGCACGCACGCACGAGAAAACTTTGTTCAGCGGCGTGATTTTTCTTGGCCGCCATGATGGTGGAAGAGGACACTGCTTCTTTTTCTTCCTTCCATTTTAAGTCCTATCAGGAAGCTGGATGGTTCGGTAG